AGCCAAATTTATAAGAATGATAAAAGACGACATTATGAAAGGAGGAACAAAAATTAAACTTTTTTTACACTTCCACATAGAATGCTAATATGCTATGTTCTAATCAAACATAAGCAAATTAATAAAGAATTCAAAGATATAAACGCAAAGAAATTATGCTATGATACCAAGTGTTATGAAAACCAACAAAATCATATATAGATTGAACGTAAATGCAAAGGAAACATATATGTCTACAGCTCTGATACCAAAATGTTAAAGAAGCTCTTTTGAAATTGAATTGTTACCAAAATATTAAGAAACTCTTGAGAAATTGAATCTAACAATCTTGTTGACGAACAAGACCTTTAGATAACAAGCCTAAAAACTCCAAAACAATCATGGAACCAACCTAGAGAAGAGTTTTAGAACGAATTACTTTGATAATCAAGATGAAGAGTAGAGAAAACTCATTTCTAAACTTGTGTAATTCGAATCATCCACAAGCAAAATACATCAAGTCTCACTTCAATGATCCTTAAACATACAAACTAGGGGTGTAAGTAACCGAACCAACCCGAGAATTTGAACCAAATCGAATGTATTCGGGTCGGGTCAGTTTGGTTTTGGTAAATATTGGTTCGGGCCAGTTTGACCCGACTAACCGAGTCTCATATCGTTACCTTAACCTAGCCTTACATGCTTTTTCTTTGGTTTTCTTTGGTTCGGTTCAATGGGAACATTCCGAAGCATTTTTTCATTGTTTGGTTGGCGGTACGTGACCGACTTGCTATGAGGGATTGCTTATGTCATTGAGACTCTTCTGTTCCTGCTTGCCGTGTGTTTTGTGCTAGCATGGAGTCTCAAGATCATCTATTCTTTGAGTGCTCCTTTAGTTGGGAGGTCTGGTCTGACACGATTGTTTGAGCTGGTTCTTATCATAGGGTTTCATATTGGTCTATTGAACTTGTTTGAGTTTGTCACATTAATGCCGGGAAGTCTGCTCATCGTCGTGTGGGGCGCTTGATATGGACTTAGGTTGTTTCTTTTATCTGAAGGGAGCGTAATGCTAGAGTTCATGCAAGTAGGATACTGGGTTGGTCGCCTTCTGTCCTCTTGCGAGGACTATTATCATTGTACTACCTGACCTAGGAGTTGCTGTTTGAGTTCTAATCATAGGTTTATCTCAGTCTGGGATTTGTTTTACTTTTCTTTCTTCTTGTCTTGTGTTTGCCCTTTGGGTATTGTGCCTTAATATCGGGTTGGGAGATCCGCCATTTTTTGTTTAATATATTTACCTTTGCAAAAAAAAAAAAAGTAAAATGTATGAAACTTTATAAATACTCAAATAACTCCACCATTACAATTACCTTAATTTACTACATTTATTTAATTACTAACATACTATTGCTAATTTTGTTACTTAAATATAATTATAATATTGCTAAACTTATTAATCTCTTATACATGTTTGTTTTTAATTATTATACATAATTAATTAAACATGGATGAGATAAATCACTAAATTTTGTTGTAAGTTTATTTTAATAAGTAAATAAAATTAACTTGAGCTTAATTAGTTAGAGCATAAAAAGTCTACCATTATTAACTATGATTGATTAAAGTTTATTGACAAAAAAAGTTAATTAGATTTGACTAGTTTAGCTAAAAGACAATAATAATATAAAGTCATGAAAATACCCTCAAAGGTAATGCGGCGCATTAAATATTCTATTTGGTTGATGCAAGATTTCGTACTAGGCAACGAGCCGACATAAGATTCAAGGTGGGCATTTGGTCAACCTGCAAATAGAACCTTACACTAGTGTGGTACTTGATTATATACCGTATGAAATTTAAGTTAGTACATAGTTTGAGTTGGTTTGAACCAAACTTAGTAAAGATATATTGAGCACATTTGTAACAGATGTATCTTCTCTTCTATAAGAGAACTTTGGGAAGTGTGGCTCTCCATTTTTCGTACTTTTTATTTGACAGTCAACAGAATTTACATCGATGTCATCTATGTGCCTAGGTTGGTGCCTAATCAATCAAGGGTGATCCTTGCCTACCCTCCCTATCTTGACATGTTTGAGCCGAGGGTTGGACACTTGTTTCCACGTGATAGGACCACGTGACAGATTCCAATTTCACCCCTATCATTTTTATTTTGTTTCCATTTTTTAGAATATTCGTAAGATTTGAGTCAAATCCTATCATTTTTATTTTGTTTCCATTTTTAAGAATATTAGTAAGATCCGAGTCAAATCTTAGTAGTAATTAAAGTAGATTAGAAAAAAACTATTTAATTTTAAAAAATAAGCTAAAATTTTAGAAATATAAATATTTACGGAAATAAGGTAGATTAAAGAATTAAGTATCTATTTGCATCAAAGATTTATAACTTGTTATTTTTATATTCGCTTAATTAAATGAATTTAGTAAAGACGTACTTAATTAAATGAATTTAGTAAAGATGTACTTAATTAAATGAATTTAGTAAATATCTGTCTGATGAATTTGTTTTTTTTAAACGGCTTTTGAATGTCAAAGCGAGCATAGTTGAACGGTAATTGACATATCTCCAACCAAGAGGTTGTAAATTTAATCTCCACCCCGACTTTTGAGTTACGTGTTCTAATAGTGAACAATTTCAAAACAACATTTTTATGTTTTAAGTATTTTTAGATTTTAAATTTGAAAATGAAGTACATTAAAAAATACATAAAACAAAATCTTGATAAATATATAATTTTACGTTAAAAACAAATTTAATATTTTAAAGTAAAAAAATGTATAGCATAATATATTATGAACTATATGATACTATAAATTAATAATTATACAAAATTTATAACATAAAATAGGTTAATAAGTTAATGGATAATATTTGAGATTCAAATTAGTCTGTAATTGCCACTATTTTTCTATAAATATATTATTAAACACATCATGGAAAAACTTGTTAAATAGATATTAAATAATTTTTAAATTGATTAATATATATAAATGTATATATATGAAAACGTCCAAATAAAATATCAGTAAAATTATCTCCTTAAGTTGAAAGATGAAATCATTATTAAACATACCAATTTTTATAAACTTCTATAAAGTGTTTTTTTTTTAATTTTAATTTTCTAATACAGGAGAGAGGATATGTTTTAAAATAAAGATTCTCCAATAGTCATCATTAGTACTTTTTTTAAAAAAATAAACCTTTTAAAAAATTGTACATAATTCATTTTATTTTAATACAGTTTTATAATTTAAGAGAATAATTTTTTAAAACAAAATTCTTTAAATTCCTCGTAACATGCGTGGCTTGGACGGCAGAATAAGAAAGAAATCCCATTTATTCTAAAAGTTAAATTATAAATTCAAACTTGATATTTGAATCTTCACCCTATTAAATGAATGAACTTAAAAAATTCCAATTATGTCATTGAATTTAAAATCATGCTTTTTATCTAGAGTGGGTTCTTGTGAGGATTTAAAAAAAAAATTATATTGTATATTTTAATAATAGTTAAAATATATTTTTTAAACAAATTACAAAAGCCTGTACTTTCTTAAGATATTACCATATTAAGACGAAGAATATGGTAGTTTTGGTAATATGGTAATCTACCTCACGAAATCGTGTCTCCAAAACATAATTTATAAAGCATAAATGACATTCAAAGCTCGACATAGGTAAAAAAATTCAAATTATATACTTAAAAATGTCGTTATTTTTTATATCACTTAAAATTGACTTTTGAAAATACAAGTTGACATGTAGATAGTTGGGAAAATTGACAAAATAAGCCTCCTGCAGGGGCATTTTAAGTTTTTTAATTGCCCTTCTCAAAACACAAGTTTTCTAATCATTTGCTGACATCACCTGCTTTGCCAAATGACCTCCAATGCCCTTCCTTACTTTGGGTACCAAATTTTAGTTTTCTCTCGTCCCTTACTTGGGTAATACGAATAGTCCGTTCCATCTTTAGCGCACTCACACTGCAGCATTCTTCGCTCGACTCAAATTTGACTGTCTTCACCTGCGATTGAAATTACATTTCTCTAGATCTCGTTATCTTTCTCCTTCGTATTTCGATTGCGACTCGCTAAGGTAACTCTGACCCTGTCGTTTTCAAGCGGTGAGACGAAGTGATTTTGGTTGCAGATTACAACGAAGGAGATTTCATCGTTAACTTTGGGTTAGTGCATTTATCTCTCGAATTGCTTAAGATTTTCGTCTTAATTACCACTATTTTAGCTATTGTTTGTAAGTTCTGTACAACCACGACGTTGTTCTTCTGTCTCTTTTGCGATTTTTGTGGATTTTTTACACTGCACATCTAGGGCTTTCGAAGAAGAAGAAAATAATACGTAATCGGCTCTAGGGAAATGAATCGATGGAGACTAAAATCGTGTTTTTGAAAACCAATAATACTGAGGGGGGGGCTGATGTTGAAATAGCCAGAGCAAAAAATGAGATCGAGAAATACAGTGAACATGAAAGGTCGAGAGCTAGAAAAATCGAGAGCTAGAAAGATCGAGAGCGAGACATATCGAGAATGAGAGAATCTCCATTGATTTACAATTATCATGAGTGTGCTAGGAAGAGCGAAATCGAGAATCATCGTCATGGATACAGCGAACTTGAAAAATCGAGAGCTAGAAATATCGAGAGCTAGAACATCGAGAAACAGCGAAAGCTAGAAAGATCGAGAGCGAGAAATATCGAGAACGAGAGAAGCTCCATTGATTTGCAATTATAGGGTGTGAAATAGGTAGAGCAAAATCGAGAGCGGGAAACATCGAGATCTCGCATCAAGAAACAGCGAGATCGAGAAAAATTACAGTGTTTTACATTTTGTATTTGAACTAGTTGCGTGTTTCCCTTTCCCTGTCTTCTTAATCCGTGATTATGTATCATGTTCAATTATTAAATTTTTGAACTACTTGCGTGTTTCCGTTTCTCTATTTGCTTAATTTGTCATCATATATCTTGTTCAATTTGATGCAGGTGCACAATGGACCATCAGTTGAGGATTAAGGAGAATGATCACTTTCCGGCTCAAGCTACCAGGATGTCTCACTTGAGCAATGTCAACAGGCTTATCAAGGATAAACTCACAGCGGACCAACTTGATATGTTTCGTAGAAGAACAATATTTGGTCGATTTGTCGACTTGGAGATGATGTTCTGCAGTGGTGTAGTTCATCACTTTCTGTCAAGGGAGGTTGCTGGGAGCAGTGACAACAACATGAGTTTCTTAATTGGTGGCAACGTGTTGACATTCTCAAAGGATCAATTCATGCTTATAACAGGATTGTGGCGGCTGCCCGGTAAGATGGTCCAGAAAAAGATTGGAAAGAATATGTTGCGGAGGAAGTACTTCAACGATGAAGCCTCCATGCTGCTCGAAGAGTTTGTGGAGGTTTACAAGCAGACTGATTTCGAGGACGACGAGGACGCCGTTAAATTGACATTAATTTTGTACACGGAGCTTGTGATGATGGGAAAGAGCAAGAGCAAGTCGAAGGTTGACATCGACTTGTACAACCAAGTCGATGACTTGGACTACTTCAACCATTTGGACTGGGGTTCTGATGTCTGGAGTAGGACAGTTAACGGTCTGAAGCGTGCGATGAATGGAAAAGTTGCGCTATACAAGAACAAAGTAAGAACGAACAAAAAGTATCTAGTAAAGTATAGCCTACCGGGATTTCCGCTTGCGTTTCAGGTAATCAATACGTACGCATACTCGTTGTCCTTGTTTGTGAAAACTTTTTTTAGGTGTGAGACTAAACTGAAATTTTATATTCAGGTGTGATATACGAGGTTGTCCCATCTCTTATCACTCCCCGGTGTCAATCGTTTGAGCGAGACCGCCATTCCCCGATAATTCGGTATTCGTGCAGTAGAGTCGTCGATACAAAAGATCTGGGGGAGGAGGTCCTTGGTTCAGCGGTGGTAAGTGATCTATAATATGTTTATTGTTGTCTAGTTGTAATGGTATTTACACTTCCTTATGTTCTTGTGATTTACGTTCAGTTGGTCATATCTTATCCACT